TCTCACTAGAACTGCAGGAAGCTCCAACCTGTAGCAAGTCACTAGCGAGCATCAGAATAATCTTCTGTAGTTTGGTTTGTAAGGATTAGTTATGTTTTACGAGTTGATCACGGACTGATATCAGTTAGAGAACCATTGAAAACCAGGGAGTACTGGACAGCTGCTGTTTCATCCTAGTTTGGGAATCATCGGCAGTACGCACCCACTGGGATTCGAACCCGGGACCTTCCGGTTACAAGGCAAGCTCGTATACCATTCAGCCACTGGGACCCGATTCAATGGCTCATGAATTCTAACTTCTACCAATTCGTGATTTTAGCGCGACCCCAACTATTGTCGTTGGTGGAAATCCATCCACACGTGACTTCTAATTGGACCTCACTGGTCACGACTTCTCACTAGAACTGCAGGAAGCTCCAACCTGTAGCAAGTCACTAGCGAGCATCAGAATAATCTTCTGTAGTTTGGTTTGTAAGGATTAGTTATGTTTTACGAGTTGATCACGGACTGATATCAGTTAGAGAACCATTGAAAACCAGGGAGTACTGGACAGCTGCTGTTTCATCCTAGTTTGGGAATCATCGGCAGTACGCACCCACTGGGATTCGAACCCGGGACCTTCCGGTTACAAGGCAAGCTCGTATACCATTCAGCCACTGGGACCCGATTCAATGGCTCATGAATTCTAACTTCTACCAATTCGTGATTTTAGCGCAACCCCAACTATTGTCGTTGGTGGAAATCCATCCACACGTGACTTCTAATTGGACCTCACTGGTCACGACTTCTCACTAGAACTGCAGGAAGCTCCAACCTGTAGCAAGTCACTAGCGAGCATCAGAATAATCTTCTGTAGTTTGGTTTGTAAGGATTAGTTATGTTTTACGAGTTGATCACGGACTGATATCAGTTAGAGAACCATTGAAAACCAGGGAGTACTGGACAGCTGCTGTTTCATCCTAGTTTGGGAATCATCGGCAGTACGCACCCACTGGGATTCGAACCCGGGACCTTCCGGTTACAAGGCAAGCTCGTATACCATTCAGCCACTGGGACCCGATTCAATGGCTCATGAATTCTAACTTCTACCAATTCGTGATTTTAGCGCGACCCCAACTATTGTCGTTGGTGGAAATCCATCCACACGTGACTTCTAATTGGACCTCACTGGTCACGACTTCTCACTAGAACTGCAGGAAGCTCCAACCTGTAGCAAGTCACTAGCGAGCATCAGAATAATCTTCTGTAGTTTGGTTTGTAAGGATTAGTTATGTTTTACGAGTTGATCACGGACTGATATCAGTTAGAGAACCATTGAAAACCAGGGAGTACTGGACAGCTGCTGTTTCATCCTAGTTTGGGAATCATCGGCAGTACGCACCCACTGGGATTCGAACCCGGGACCTTCCGGTTACAAGGCAAGCTCGTATACCATTCAGCCACTGGGACCCGATTCAATGGCTCATGAATTCTAACTTCTACCAATTCGTGATTTTAGCGCGACCCCAACTATTGTCGTTGGTGGAAATCCATCCACACGTGACTTCTAATTGGACCTCACTGGTCACGACTTCTCACTAGAACTGCAGGAAGCTCCAACCTGTAGCAAGTCACTAGCGAGCATCAGAATAATCTTCTGTAGTTTGGTTTGTAAGGATTAGTTATGTTTTACGAGTTGATCACGGACTGATATCAGTTAGAGAACCATTGAAAACCAGGGAGTACTGGACAGCTGCTGTTTCATCCTAGTTTGGGAATCATCGGCAGTACGCACCCACTGGGATTCGAACCCGGGACCTTCCGGTTACAAGGCAAGCTCGTATACCATTCAGCCACTGGGACCCGATTCAATGGCTCATGAATTCTAACTTCTACCAATTCGTGATTTTAGCGCGACCCCAACTATTGTCGTTGGTGGAAATCCATCCACACGTGACTTCTAATTGGACCTCACTGGTCACGACTTCTCACTAGAACTGCAGGAAGCTCCAACCTGTAGCAAGTCACTAGCGAGCATCAGAATAATCTTCTGTAGTTTGGTTTGTAAGGATTAGTTATGTTTTACGAGTTGATCACGGACTGATATCAGTTAGAGAACCATTGAAAACCAGGGAGTACTGGACAGCTGCTGTTTCATCCTAGTTTGGGAATCATCGGCAGTACGCACCCACTGGGATTCGAACCCGGGACCTTCCGGTTACAAGGCAAGCTCGTATACCATTCAGCCACTGGGACCCGATTCAATGGCTCATGAATTCTAACTTCTACCAATTCGTGATTTTAGCGCGACCCCAACTATTGTCGTTGGTGGAAATCCATCCACACGTGACTTCTAATTGGACCTCACTGGTCACGACTTCTCACTAGAACTGCAGGAAGCTCCAACCTGTAGCAAGTCACTAGCGAGCATCAGAATAATCTTCTGTAGTTTGGTTTGTAAGGATTAGTTATGTTTTACGAGTTGATCACGGACTGATATCAGTTAGAGAACCATTGAAAACCAGGGAGTACTGGACAGCTGCTGTTTCATCCTAGTTTGGGAATCATCGGCAGTACGCACCCACTGGGATTCGAACCCGGGACCTTCCGGTTACAAGGCAAGCTCGTATACCATTCAGCCACTGGGACCCGATTCAATGGCTCATGAATTCTAACTTCTACCAATTCGTGATTTTAGCGCGACCCCAACTATTGTCGTTGGTGGAAATCCATCCACACGTGACTTCTAATTGGACCTCACTGGTCACGACTTCTCACTAGAACTGCAGGAAGCTCCAACCTGTAGCAAGTCACTAGCGAGCATCAGATAAGTTCTTCATCACACTCCACAGTTAAATCTCATCAATGTAAGAATATAAAAGTCAGTGCAGGCAAGTCGGAATGCGATCAGATTCTGCTTTGAGTGATCTGGAAGCGCCAAGCAGATTGACATTCATTCCAACTATCATTTCATCACAAGTGAAATATGCAGTCATTAGGACTATGAGATACAGTGAGATTAAACAAGTAAATGACCCGATTGTGAATTCATAATTCACAGCTATATACGTTTCATGGGCGAGTAGTATTCAGTGATGTGAAGGAAACGTGAATACTGCAAAATTATAGAAAGACAAAATGCAGTAAACCGCATATAAGTTATACTCACAAAGGTGATGATGAAATATAGCGGTTATATGGTGACAAGTAATCAAATCATTGCATACGAAGTGTGAAAAATAGTAATAATGATGATCAGAATACGCCTTTGGAATGATGTGGAGTTCACTGGGTGAGGAAGAGTAGGAAGGAGGTGAATATATTTATATGAGATGACGGCATGTTATTCACTTGTAATCGTGTTGGATGAATGTGGTGATTTTGAAAGCATTCTGACTTTTCGTTCTTTTCATGTATACGCTGTTCTACAAAATTTCTAGAACAAAGATTTTACTCAGGTTTTCATTTTCAGTTTTCAGATTCCAGACTGAGTGGGGAGACTCCATCGCGACAACGTCTATTTGTCTAAACGCCACATCCTTAACAATAAATAGGATCTCCGAAATACGTTTCAACGGGAGTTACTTTGGTGAACTGTGTTAAGACATCTCAAGATGACAGTTCCTACCTTCAATGTTGTCAACAGAAGTGCACACAACTGTAACACCATTTCTGACTGCCTCTCAACATAGAGCATCAAAAAATATCACTGACCATTCAACGCATAAATGATATAGTTAACGTAACGTTGATGGAGTCGAACGTTGAAGCACTATCTATTCAAAGATATTCACCAACCCACGAAGTTCCACGTATGAGTTACGAAGTGAATGACTAGCTCCGATGATTCTCAAACTAGGATCAAACAGCAGCTGTCCAGTTCTCCCTGGTTTTCAATGGTTCTCTAACTGATATCAGTCCGTGATCAACTCGGAAAACATAACAAACCCTTACAAACAAAACCACAGAATAGTTTATTTCCGGTGAATTCATTTTCAAAGCTGTACAATCACAAATTTATTCATGTTTACTCTGTATATGTATGGATACTCAAATGGAAACAAGTGATTCACCGAAGATTCTTCAAAATATCAGATCGTGTGAGCCGATGTGGATTGTTAATCTAGACATCTATTTCATCATATCAGTGGTGTGAAGCATCTCACAGGGATTGAAGGCGACCAAGTAGGTCAACTGGCAGCACCAATATGACACATATCTGATGAAAAAATATCCAGATTAGGCGGAGAATACGCTTTCATGAAATCTTAGAGTTGACACCCGTAGTATCCTCGTTGATTGTTTCATTTAATTAACTACACATTGAGACTTTTATTCAATTTCTGAATTACGAATGCATTCGCCACCTTCTATTTTCAATCCGTGTGTAAAATATGCCTTTCAGTAGTCACGTGTCACTCAGTTGATACAGTGTGTAGGCGATATCCTTCATGATTTCGGAATCACGTAATCTACGTAGCCAGATACTTCTCTCTCGACAACGATAGTAGCCGAGAAACGATTTTATCACGATGTGTTCCTCTTTTATAGGGAGAAGACCAGTAGTTCAGCGAAGATTTTATTTCCGGTGAATTCATTTTCAAAGCTGTACAATCACAAATTTATACATGGTGACATTGTTTGTCTGTGCACATTCAACTTGAAACAAGTGATTCAGCGAAGAGACTCTTTTCAACGAATCTATTCTCAAGGTATACAATCGTAGATTTGTGGTGTTTGCTCACTGCATCATTTTTACTTGTCATTGTCCCTGTTTAACCCATAATGTTCGTGCTTCCCTGTGTTCACATCACAACGAGTCAGATTTGCTCTTTACACACTGGTTTATGGAAGTGCATTCTGCAGACATTTCACCATATTTAGGTATCACCCAGAGTGTCCTCATTCAGTGGTATCTAAGTGATATTAGTGATCAGGCGGATAATTGTTATGACTATGCTAGGTATTGGAATTAGTGCCTAACATGAATGAAGTTTGAATTCATGAAGAGAAAGCAGTGTAGCAGAAAAGTGATTTATTTAATTCAAATTCAAAATGAAATATTTACGAAAGCTACTACAGTGTACATGTATTCAGTGTTACGCCAACATTTGAAATTCATCGTGGAATTTCTCCTCAATTTCCTGTGTGAGAATAAAATCAGTTAGCAATATTATTGGATGAAATACTAGTGGTTAAAATAATCAAGAAAGAATAATCGTGAGAAGGAGGATGATTGTTGGTGAACTGTGTGCTTATTCATAGAATCCGAGAATTCGGAATATTTTCAGTGAGTGATGATTTCCATTTCTATCATTTGTCGGTGTATTTGAGTTGTTAAATTCAATAATTCACTATGGGTCGTGTGAATTTCACCAGCTTGATTGCATAGCCTCCGTGACATTTTTGAAATGTGCACACGGTTACTTACAACACCACTCATGATGCTTTCATCAATCGATTAAACACGAGTATTATGCAGTGTAATTTGAACCACACATTCATCAATCAATATTTCAGCTGGACAGCGAAATGATGGTCTATGGTGAAAAATATTATCTGAATGTTGCAGTGAATATCCGAATCCAGTGTTGTGCTCTCCTCACTCATTATCCTACACTGTCACACTTCGTTCGCTTCAAATTTGAGTCACCACCGCATTAACAGACCTTCGAATGATAAAATGTGGAAATATAATGCAAAATAAATCTCACATATCAACCCTTTCAATAGAATTTGGTTCAGAAATTTCCCATCTAGAAATGATAAAACAGATTGTGAAGTATTTGAATTGACCAGCGAAAGGGATAGTGGTCAATTACTGAGTTCTTCTGATAACAAACTAACATAAGACTGGGATTGACTATTCTCACAATCACACAACTGCCTTTATATTGTTTTTGCATAGAAATTTTCGATTGTGGAGTTTAATCATACACAGAAAATGAACTCACAAATTTTAATAGTAAGCGAGTGTTTGTTTTGGTATAATGCATAAACTTCTTTATTCAGTTGACTCAGATCTGATAAGTAAATCAAGGGGGGGTGGAATGAATACCTATAGGAACACACTTCACAGGATCATACATGTCATGAAATAACGCTGAATAGTCTGTTTCGCACACAGATACAAGCAATTGACTACTTCACAAACTCATCCACTTGCATGATGTTAAGAATAAAACATGTCCAAACTGCAGTCATAATATCACTTTTGTGGTACTCGTTCAGTGTTTCACGTTCAACAAATTGTCTTCCAGTGTGTGTGTGTGTGTGTTTCTACTCAAAATCACAACTGCCGTTTTTAGACGACTGACTACCATCCAGAACACTAAACTTGTTCATCCTGCTTCACACATTATTTCCTGACTCTTGGAAAATCCTCATCATTGACTAGCGCATAATAAGCGATGGATGTTCATGAATTCAAATCATGATGACGAAGGTATTGTGACATGTGGAAATGCACCCTCATCGTGGGTGTATGTGAAAATGTTGTTCATCAAGAATGTAAAAAAGGAACAAACGAATACCTGCGTGAGGTGCTGGAGGCATATTCACGAAACAATTTTCATTGGGGAACACCGTTATATTCTCTGTTCATGGGTGAGTAAGAGTAAAACACAGTTTGATTATTCACTCAAAGTTACAAAAGATGCGTGGAGACTTGCATTTCGAAAATCGTTACTCCACACAGACGAAACAATTCAGACTGGTTAGCGTAATAAAATCCTACTTACTTTTATATTCCAAGGTTTCTCGTCGGATACAATTTTTCGCATCGACTAATTTCTTATGAGGGTCTGTAAGTAAATTAGTTTCACACGTATCAATCCATGTCTATTGTTTTCTCAGTATAGTGCTCATACAAATTTATGCACGTTAAACGCAAACACAACCGAAATTCTGATGAATCGTCAACCACTTCGCAATCTTCATCGGTGCATGAGGAAATTATTCATCTTTATTTCAAGTCAGTAAATAAAAGTCAGGACTAAAATAACAATAGTTGAGATGGTGAAGTGCGAATATAGGCCAGATGAAGATTGTTAGTCAGAATATTGACGAGAAATAATTATGACGGTAAGTAAGTACAGAAATGATTCAAAATATTTAGCTTACCTCTGGGAAAATTTCGATGTATATCTGAGAGAGATAGACAGAAGTTAGCATATTCGGCAGCTCTGATCAATTTTTAGTTAGAAAACTTGGTAACGTTCATCACATCACTGTCGAATAGACGTTCAGTATTGAAATGATCGGTGAGAGAGCACATCAACAACTGTGATTGAATCACGAAAACAACTTCTCATTTATCAGATGAAAACTCAATTTAGTGGACATATTTCGTAAATAAAATGATATTTAAATTGAAAAAAATTGCCACAACGTACTGTCAAATGCCTCGCTTCCCCAACTGTACTTGTATGCATTTTCCAGGCAGTCCGTATCTAAAATAGGTAGTCCATCATTTCAATAAATTTGACTTGCTTACACTTTTTTATTTCTCCTTGTAAGCTTGCATTTTGACTGAGAATCTTGTCTAGGAAAACAGAAAAGTGAAAAGGGTCTAGTGTTTATAGCTTCTGGAGACATGTATTAAAATGCTATAATTATCTGTTACATACTAGATGAAAAGGTTGACATTTTGATGTCATCATTGGTGATAATTTGGAAAGAATAATTCGAAGTATGTTTTCGTCAGCGTAAAAATGTTATCAGCAATAAATCTTTAGGTTTTACATACCTGTAGCCTTTTCCACTTTCACTTCTGAATTTTGTATAGCCGTAATGATTCCGGGTATTTCTCCTGTAGGGAAACGAGAATATTTTGAATGAATTGTCATATGTTAAGTAAGAACATTGGATGCAAGTGAATAAAGCACACTGGAAATCGTTTCATTGAAGAAGTCTGAAGTAATGTCAGTTGAGGCACTCAAGTCTGAGACCCTCCCTATGTAGGATTTTTAAGAGAGCAGGAATTACGGTGGTGGCATTCAAACCTTCAAATTCTTTAGGTGGGACAAGTTAAATGTATGTAGGTTAAAGGAAACTGTTGGTTGACCCAATTAGACAGAATAATATATCTACAAAATACCTTGCAATCACTGTGAGATCAACTACATGGGTCAAACTAGTGGATCGGGAGTAGTCAGATTGGCGGAACATAAGAATTTAGTTAACGTTAGAATGGTTGAACCAATCCACGAAGATAAGTAGCTTAGAAAACAGTTCAGCCATTGCACTGCATGCATTAACAACGCACGACCACACAGTAGGGTGGGAGTGAGTTGAAATTCTAAAAAGTTATGTAGGTAGGTGAAGATAGGTTGGTTACTGAATCCTTGCTCCTAGAATCTACACTCAACAGTGCAATACAAAATGACTCATCACTCAAACCGGAATATGGAAAATACTACTACTAATCAAGTCAAGCGATGAAAAATAATGGAATTGTGTAAACGAAGTTAGAAAGTCAAGTGAATACCTTGATATGGATATGACGAGTAGTAAATTGTGCACAAAACCTCATCAGTGAATATTACCGTATCAAAATGAATTTCACCCATAATGAAACTATACTCTACCACAGTGCAGAAGTTCTATTCTTATATCAAGTCGATTGACAAACTCAAGTGATATTTATTTGAAACGTACTTACCATTAATTTTGGCAAGTCTCCTTGAAATTGCACCTACACTCGTCGACTCGCCTTGAAACGAAATGAAGAAATGCAACCGTCAATTATAATAGATAGGAGGAGTTTCAGAATACTGAAAATTATCAGAACAATTTGTCTACTTAAAATACATCAAACTGCTGTCGACCGCCTTATGTATGCCATTGCAGGGCAGAAACACATCATCTCAAAATGTGTATTCGAGCTGTTTAAATCTTAGGAAATTCTAGACTGACACATTATTCCGATGAGAGAACATGTCACTGTGCAACTGTTGATATACACAGTTTCTGAATCAGAGTCAGGAGAACAGACGCCTTCGCCATTACACTGCTCTTTACCATGTATCAGGCAAGATGAATTTGATATGAAAGCGTATGCGACAGCGACCATTCCTCGGCCAAAACTTAACTAGTGAGAATAGCCCGTGAGAGTAGCCGGCGAAATATTTAGCAGTTCTAGTGAATAAGGCGAACCTTTCGTAAGGATTAAGGAACAAATATACCATCTTTTGAAAAAGTGCTTACCTGAATTTATGGCTGTAAGTGCCAACAGGGTGATGAAGGCGAAGTGGACCATCTTGTTATGGTAACTGACTTTCCGTTCCCTTATTTATACCACAAGAAGCGGTCACAATCATTGTTGTAATTGGTTGATTACAATAATCACGATTTCATCGTTCATTTGTGGATGACTGTGAGTGTTGTGATTGGTGTGTGAAACAACGTCTCATGATATCGGGTGAGTCATATAATTGATCGAAGCAATCTGATAGGTGTATTGAAATCTATCGATCTGCAGAATCACCTCAATCCAAATAGTAAGCAGAATTCATGTGATGGTGTCCACATGAAGAAAGGACACTCGCAATACACCGTGGAAGATCCCAGTTGAGAAGTCATCCGACTTCACGAAGATTTGAGTTAGCCTTACTAATCTGCAACTGAGAAAAATAACCCTTGAAGCGCTTTCCGATTAGTGCGCTACGTTTGCTTAGTTTCATAAAACTCTCATTTCTCTGATGCTTTCTCACCAGAAAGTTGTGGGATTCACTGTACTTAGTTCACCTTTTAACACTGAATCTGTGGATATAATCTGGCTGACTGATAATACCGAAGACTAACTGTTCGGCATATTGTGACTGCTTAACACTAGCTGATATCTTTATTGTATACATATATTGTTTGATTTACATGCTCGAGTTGACCCAAGTCAGTGACCCTGTGGTTTCCATATCATTTTTGTCAACTGCATTTGACAGTGATGCTGCAACTATGGGTTCTTCTTTTGTTGTTGTTGTCGTCGTCGCTGGCCTTCCTGTTGAGAATGGAATTCAATTATTGGGAATATGAGGAGGCAGATGGAACGAGAGTGGCCTCACCAAATTGTCAACGGGAGAGTCGATTGTCCACTCCGCACACCCACAAGACAACCGTGAGCACACTGAGGCAGTGAGTGGCTACCATGATGTCACAAACAGTAATGAAGGCCCTGATGCAACAAGAAGCAATCTCCCGCAGGAAAATGGCAGCCAGATTCAATCCAAAAACAAGTAAAGTATCAGTTATGTAATACTTTGCACCCACGAAAAACGGAGAACTCAAAAACGAAGAAGAGTTCTGCAGAAAACCACTGCCAACAATGGACAATACTCCATTATGGATAAGATTTCATTTTGATAAATCACACAGTGTTGTAAAGTAATAATAACTGATGCGACCACGTTTCGAGCACAAACTATTGCCTCTCATAATCATATCAAGTCACTCACACATTTTCCTTCATTTATATACATGAGTGGAATTGATGATTGGATATTGGAACCAATATGAGATAATGTACATTCAGAAATAATAATAGTAAGGGTTATTGATCACTAACAATCAGATGGGAAATGAGACGAGTGTTTTTATAGTCAAAATAAGTAACGTGTTAAAATGTTGTGATGTGTTTGAATTGAAATAGAATACAATTAAAGATTATTTATTATCCTCCTCTGATTTGACTGACTGACTGGCGATAATAATATCTTCCATATTTCTGGTATTCGCATTGAGTCATTTCTGTTGCATGTGTTGTGTTGGGTGTAGACTCGATGAACCAGGCAGGATTCAGTAATCAGCCTCTCTCTCCACCTACATAGATTACTTTTTAGAATTTTAACTCTCTCCCATCATGTTATTGTGTGGTTGTGTGTTAATGCGTGAAGTGCAATTGCTGAGCTTTTTTCTAAATTACTCAACTTCTCGACTGGGTTCAACCATTCTTCCCTTAGCTAAATTCTTATGTTCCGACAAGCTGACTACCCAGGACCTATGAGAGATGAAAAATAAACTAAATGACATTCAACTAGAGAATGATGAATAAATGGTTAGTTTTGATATAACTAGTATTCATACCAATATACCAATGAATGTGCCCTCCTTAGAAGCGGCAGAACTGACTGCCGATCCTGAACTCAATCATAGGACAAAAGCTGAAAAAAATTATTTCAGTAATTCAGTTATGCCTCACATCTACTATCTTTAAGTTCCACGGCAAAATATATAGACAAACAGAAGGTGTAGCAATGGGATGGATCACCAATATCCCCTATCGCAGCAGACATATTTATGGACAGCTGGGAAAATATGGCTCGTAATACATTTAATCCTACTCCAAAAATATGGTGAAGATATGTGGATGACACTTTAAAAGTTTGAAAAGCAGAACATATCTCTCTCTTACTTCTTGACACATTTAAACTCACCAGTAGAGGGAATAAAATTCACATTTGAATCGAGAAATGAACAAGGAGAATTAGCTGTGATGTTAGATTGTGAAATAAAACGAATAGAAGAAGGCAAACTTCACACTGGTATTTATAAGAAACCAACGCATTCTAATAGATATTTAGACTTTAATTCGTCTCATCCATTAAAATTCTAAAAAGTAATCCATGTAGATGGAGAGAGAGGCTGATTACTGAATCCTGCCTGGTTCATCGAGTCTACACCCAACACAACACATGCAACAGAAATGACTCAATGCGAATACCAGAAATATGGAAGATATTATTACCGCCAGTCAGTCAGTCAGTCAAATCTGAAGAGGATAAAGAATAACCTTAAAAGTCTATTTCAGTTGAAACACACATTCAAACACACCAGACTGACGAGCCGAAAAGCAAATTGACTTCATCTCAATGCTGCTCAAGGAAATTGAGAAGCAGCTTATTGGACACAAAAGTAAGAAGAGGAGCACACGTAGACTCAGACAACTATCTCGTACAAGGAACACTCCAAATCAAATTGAAAGCTTTCACAGAAACACGAGCTGTAGACAGATCACAAGTTAAGTTCAATGCTCTGAAGCTGAAGGATCAGGATACAAAGGACATCTTCACTGCAAAAGTGAGGAAAAATGCGGAGACACAAACCAACACTAGCAAAGAGAACAGCGTTGAAGAGCACTTGAACAACCTGAAAGGTGTGTGGCGCCAAACCCGCGTGGAATTTCTAAGCAGCAACAAGAGACAGGACAAACTGTGGCTCACTACAGACACGTGGAGACTGATAGAAGAGAGAAGGATGGTGAAACAAACGATTAGCTAGTGCATCGACGATCACCGAACAAAAGATTTAAAAAGAGTGCCAGGGATGTCAAAGGACGATATTATGAAGCTATGCAGGTGAAGTATTACAAGCTGCAGTGCAGACAAAGGAGACTGTCAATGGATGTGAACATTGAACGTTTGTCTATTGGAACTAGCAGCCATTGGTGGGCAACTCGAAGGCGCGAATAGTACGATCGTGTGCAAGTTGGAAGAAGGTGGAAAGAACACGAATAAAAACTTTGTAGTTGTCTTCACTTTAATTGACAAACAATATAATTTCGTTCAAGGAATACTGGTGTTTTGGATTTAAAGTTGAAAGCAATACATAGTATTTATCGGTTCAATCGCCTACGTCTTCATTACAATAGGAACTTAGGGCTAAGTTCCTTGCCAGTTTTTATTCTTCTGTTCGCCTTCTGGGGAACTTTTCATTCATCTGGTCGTTTTCTGGAGCCCCTTCTGAAAGTCTTCCGGGTGTACTTACTAGATCTGTAGCCAGCTTCCTTTCGGTCACAGATTATCAACGCAATTCGGATTCTTTGGTGACGTTGGATAATGCCTGGGTCAAGAAAGGGACGTGGCACCGTGGAAGCAGACAAAAAAGTAAGTAACGATGAGTTGCCTGTTAATTGTAATGATATGTATGATGCTCAGCGTGTTGAGTTTGATGTTCACGCTTCACCGTTAAGTGATAGTAAGGCCTTAAGATTACCTAAGTTTGAACCTCGAAACTTCGATGGAAACCCATCCGACTACTCACAGTTTATCAAAGAGTTTGAGGTCATGCTGAGTGGTTTTGTATTAGATGATGAAATGAAGTTAATGTATTTGTTGAGATATTGCACTGGTGTGGCTGCAAGAGCCATACAGTGCTGTAAGTTTATGCCCCTGAACGAAGGATATGCTGAGGCAATGAAGATACTACGTGAAAGGTTTGGAAAGCCATTTATGATATCCCGTAGTATTTCCGAGACAGTGAAAGGTAACGGATCACAGTTAAACGATAATGCGGAGGAACTTGCAGAGTTCTTGAATAATTTGATGGTATATAGAAGTACACTCATGTCTCTTAACTGCGTAGATGAATTGAACTCAAGTTCCGTGCTTGAGGCTGTTGCCAAGAGATTACCTGTTCGTCTACAAAGGAAGTTTATAAGGGTTTGTTCACGTCTAGAGGAGGAAGGTTTAGAGCCCAGGTTGGATGACATTGTGAGCCTGGTGAAAGACAGTGTCAACCAAGCTTTGAGCAAGTTTGCTAGTATACTGCATCCCTCCCCTGGAATAGAGAAATCAGAGAGTAAAATGCAATCATTTATGACGAAGGGGTCTCAGCGTAGTGGATATCGGGAAAGCTGTATGGTTTCTAGTAAACCTAATGATTGTGACAGCTTTAGTGGGACGTCCCCAACGGATAAGTTACAAGCTGCAAGGCAAACACGGTTGTGCTTCGTTCGTTTGCAAGAAGTGCATACAAAGGCGAACTGTGAAGCAATGAGCAAGTTTATTGGCAAGCTAAATGTGAAGTCAGCGTCATCGTGTTCTGACTCCGAATCGTGTATCGATAATGGTGCAGTGAAGAAGCCTGTAGTCGTAACTGGTAATCCATTGTTGAAAAGAGTGTCTCAGACGACACCACAGTTTGTGCATAAGAAGAGGGTTACAGTTTCAGTGTCCAGTTCTCACTCCACAAGTTTACAAGGTAATACTAGTCAGAGTAAAGGTATAAAACCTTTAAGAATTCATGAGAAGTCATCTACGGTTGTTATTAAAGAGTTTGAAAATGATGAAGTCGATCATACAGACGGTGGTAAAGTGGGTATTTGTGACAGTGGTCATGATAGTTCACATTTGTCTGTGGCTGATCATAATGAGATTAGCGGAATGCCTACTACTACTGAGTTGATTAAAGGTTCTGTACAACTTGAACGTGAAGCAGAATTAAAGGCAGATACTAGTGAAACCGTCAGTGTAAATGATTCGAGTGTAGCCCAACTATCGAC